TCTGTGCCTCTACTTTATCACACAACATCAAAACAGCGCTGGGCTCCCAGGAGAGGCCGGCCTTTTTATGTGCGCCCCAGCTTCCCACGGCGGGCCGCATCCACCTATAATCTACTGCTGTTTCATGTCTGCAGCAGCGCAGAGAGGATGAGGGACGTGTTCAAGTGAAGATCAATGAGGCTGTGTACACAGCATATGCGCATCTGAAGAGTCAAATTCCTTTTTTTCTTTCCGAGGTGCCATCTGATCTAATATTAAAGAACATAATATATAGATACGTCCACCGGTCAGGTAATAAATATTGCTAGAATGGAAAACAGAGAGATTTCCGTCATCTGCAGAGAAAACAGCTTCTGTCTTTTGTTACTGAGCCACCTCTCGGAGGACAGGCAATGAAAACAGTAAACATCCTGCATTATAGATTCGTCAAAAATACGTTTGGCTGTTTGTCACAAGCACCTTGTTGTTTAAGGCAGTGCCAAGTGTCTGCGCCTGGAAAAATCAAAGCCCACCGATGTATTGGCAGCAATAGCTGGAGAGCGAAACTGTGTCAGGGAAGTGAGGGGAATCCCCCCAGCGGCTGCTTTCCATCCGCTCCACATCTGGCTGCTGAAACCTGCAGCGACTCTCTGCTCACAAGGAGCAGAAAAACAAATCTTAGGTTGTTCTCTTTGCCTCCCCACCCAAGTGGCACGGACTCCGACCAGACAAAGGGATCGCATCTGGAACATTCCCCTGCAGGAATCCGCGTGAAAACGATGGATCACCGTCAGATTTTAGAGCCAGAAAAGCACAAATAAATCAATCCCAGGCTGCAGTTCCAGTATTGTTAAAACAGACTTTTCTGAGTCACAAACACTGAAGCAGGAGGGGATTACATGGCTGACAGATTGCTTGGAAATCCTTCATGTTAATGGAGAAATGTCTAAAGGTGGTGTGGCCTCTTGGATGTACAGTTTTATTTTGATCATCAGTGGGAAACAAGGATGGAAACATGAGAACCGAAAAAACTGGTTTTCTGTTGGGAACAAACTTTTTACAGAATTATTAAACAATTGTTGTTTGACAGCATAAAGTTAATCAGGAAAGACAGACAGTTCTGCCACTGTTGTATTTTTTTCTATATGTGAGCCAACTGTAACTTTTTAGGGCCAAATGTCATGTCTAAAATACTACCTGTAGTTTTTTTTTAATTTTCCAGGCACATAACGTAACAATTAACAATGTTAATTACAGAAGTTGTAAAAATGCTGTATATATTAAAAAACATCTTGAAATTGGGCCTCTGTCTCTTTAAAAGCTCCTGCTCTTTCTGAAACGTTGCCTTCAGGAAGTCATCACAACATGGCTCCTCTGTTAACCCTTTAACATGTTTTACCAGCGCTGCTCTGAGGAGCAGCTCCTATAATGAGCTCAGCAGTTTCAGCAGCTGTTTGCTAATTCTTGCTGGCTAGTCTGAAGGAGCTGAGTGAGGGACGACCGCTCTGTGGGGCAGAAGCTCGTTTGCTTGGAAACTACATCTCAGAGGAGGAGCTGTGCCTAGAAGGCGGAGCTTGGTCCAACCAGGCGTTTGTTCAGCTGAATGGTTACCATGGAGATTAAAGGATTTCTCAAACATGCATAAAAGAATCAAAACAACACTCCAGGTTGAATAACATTATAACATAACATAAAGCTAAAAAGAAGCTGATTTTACATTAGACTGCCCCGTTAAAAAACAAACCCAAGCAGTACAAACAAATCCTGCTGGCCGATAAATTGTCTCTGAAATTAATACAATAAACGACAATATTGTTTTCAACCAATATAGTGCAAGAACAAAGATAAGTAAACTTTAAATTCTAATGAACATTTAACACTGGAACTGGAAAACATTTTAAATATTCAAAATAACAAATGAAACAACTTATAAAGTCTCTGTAAACAAAATTGAGACTAAAGCACCAGACTGAAGACTGTCGTCATCTAGAAAAAAAGAAAAACAATAAATGATGAAAAATGGAAATTATTGAGTAATTAACTGATTTATTGCTTATTGTAACAGACCAATGCGCTGGTGAAAAAAAAAATCTGATTTCCGAAAATGAAAGGAGGAGAGAGTTAGTGAGTTAAACAGCTGACCACAACTGAAAAGGTAAAGTTGTTTAAAAGAAACGATGAAACCGGTGGGGGGATAAAATGACGCTGAGCTGATTGTGTTGGAATGAATAAGGGGGAAAACTTTGCATGTGGAGCTGCTGATCAAAGTCGTTCCCACAGGAAATCTGCCTTAATGAGAGCTATACCAGAAAAGAAAGAAGGAAGACAAGAAGAAGAGGTGGAGATGACATCCCATTCTTACGCAGAAAAAAGATGAATCATGTATGTCGCCTGCTGCGTGTGTGTGTAGGTGTGTGTGTGTTGTGGGCGGGTCGAAGGGCGTTTTAACGTCTTCACTGTGGGAGCGTCGGAGGCGAGGCCAGGTTAATTAAACCCAGGGGAGCATCGGGCGAGGGGGCGCGCGCTTGAATGTGTCACAGAAAAGCAGGAGTGTGTCAGCCAAGGCCGGATGGCGAAATGTGTCGACGTCGCATTTTACACCGAGCGGCGGCGCAGACGGAGATCGGATCGCTCCGACTTATTAATGTTTGTCATTAGAGCGCGTTACGCCGGAGGACAGGACTGGAAAACAGGCTGAAGAGTTTCTTTCATGGGACAAATATTGACAATAGTCGGCTCCTGGGTATTGGAGAAGGAGGAAAGATGCAAACTATGTTAATGAATGGTAATTAACCGCCGGGGCTCGTGTCTCCTGAATCCCGGCTAAATTGGTCCCCGAGTTGCAGCTGAAGACAGTCCTGGCCTAATCCTTTATTATAAAAAGATAAAGGAAAACGACATCATTAGCATATATTTGGGAAGAGAAGTGGGGGTGGGATTAAAAAGTGGAATTATTTCTTTTTAATTCCTGAACACAGGATTTTAAACAAATAAAAAAAAAAGAAGGTGAGAAAGTGGAAGAAAGGAGAAGGAGGAAAGCAACTCAAGGACAGAGGAGAGCGGTGTCGGGATTTAATATTCAAAAGGAATAATAATAAGAGAGGTAGGGAAACAGGAGCAGATAAAAGAGATTTGAAGCAGCTCCCCTTTAACAAAGCCCTGCTCTGCATGTGTGAACTCGACTCGCCCGGGTTGTTGTGAATGACGTCACCAGCAGGGGGCGCTTGTTACAGGCCGCGCCGCGCTGTCAATCAGGAGGCCTGCAGCGACTCCGACCGGCTGGAAACAACAAAACACGCTCAGAAAAACAACGTTCAGCATAATAACAGAATAAAGCCATCTGAAAGCAGAGCAAGTATCCTTCAAAAATACATGAAGATGCTGTTACGTCTCCTCAAGACGGTAGAAGTGCAGACATATTTGACTCTACACGTTTGGTAAAAATGCATAAAAAGCCTGGAAATAGATGACTGTTTAATTCTAATGAAATAATAAAACCAAATCAATGGAAAAAGACGCATATTAAGACTTTAGTATTCTAAACGGTTCCAACAGGAAAAAACAGAACATTTTAATTTATATTAATATTTAGCTGTCCACCAGAGGCAGTGAGGAAGATGGTAATGATAATAAACCTTTAAGACAAATGCTGCACAGAACAACTGAAAACAGAAAACCGTTCCTCTCCTACCATCACAAAAATAAAACTACAGAAATAAACATGTTGAAGTTGGAAAAAAATAGATTTAGTCAGACGAGACTAAAAACTATGACGGAGAATTAGGGCCATACTAAAAATCTGATGAAATTATGAGAAAATAGTAATAAAATTACGAAAACAAAGTCGTAACATAAGAATAAAGTCAAGATATTTTGAGAATAAAGTCAACAGTATGGTGACTTGATTCTGATAAAACTATGACTTTATTCTCATATTTTAATGTAATAATAATACATTTTATTTGATGGCGCCTTTCAAAGCAGTCAAGGTCACCAAATAAGAAATAGAAACAATAAAATAGAAACTATAAAAGGCATTACTTTCTCGTTATTCTTGTAATTTTACTGTTTATTTTATATTTGACTGCATTGATATTCAGTCAAATATAACTGATGTGTGAAACAATGGCAAAATAAACGTGAAAAAGAAACTTACATCCATTGTTAAGCAGGGTGGAGGATCTGTGATCCTGTGGGCTCATTTCTCATCTCTGAATATTGGAGCAATAAAAATCTGGTGGCCTTCAGCAGAAAACGGCTCAGCGCTTTATTACGATAATAATCCCACAGAAATATTTCCAAATATTTTCGTAAAATTATTCTGACATTTTCAAAATGAAGTGACACTTCTGGAACATAAAGGATTAATTTTACACTGCAAAAACACAAAACCTTACCACGTATTTAGTTTCTAATACACTTGAAATTAGGTAAAATTAACTTATTAGTAACTTTTCAGCAACATACAGGATCCTGGTTAATGTCAGTAGTTCCACTGGCAGATTATTTCACTCTCATTTTACAGGTGAGATTATCTGCTAATGGAACCAGAACTTTTTCATCATTATTATTGACTTAAATCAATCTCCCATATTTTGCTGAAAAAGTTAGTTTTGTGTTATTTTAAGTGTACTAAGATATTTAGGAACTAGACTGATAATGCGTGGTTAGATTTGGTGTTTTGCAGTGTAAGGCATTTTGCTCATCATCAACTCAGATCTCAGAGTTTCAAAATGTCCTTTTGGCACCAGCAGCTCCAGGCCTTCAGCAGTCAGATAAAATAAAGGGGAAATGAAGCAGAAGGTTCATAAAGGTGTAAGTTAAAGATCAGCGTAAGCGTCTGCCATGTTCCCCCCACCCCGAGTTCAGGACTGCACCGTAAATTAGTTTGGCTCCGAGGGGCCCCGCCTGACAGCCAGAGCGCGCTGAGCGCTAACACAGATGTCGAGGGCTCATTTACTAAAGTCGGGGTGCGAGTCGGAGGCCCGGAGTGAGTTGACAGCTTTCCTTCTTTTCTTTTCTTTTTTTTTTCACAAATATTGGTTCTGCTGCTGTGGCTCCGTTTGGCTCAGACCGGCCAGCGCTGAGCAGGAACCGGGCAGGAAAGTCAGGATGGTGGAGGGGCTGAAAGAGGAGAGGATGACAGTTTTCCCAGCCTCAGCCCGAGGAGTCAGGGTTTTTCGCTGACTGGTGCTGCGAGCGCGGCCAGCTCTTCTGTCAGCACTTTCCTCTCCTTCATCTTCACGCGCACAGCCTCCATTAGCTGGCCGGCAGAGGGGATCTGCAGGGGAGAGAAACAGGTTAGAGGAGGAAAAGCAGGAAAACACATCAATGCTACACTTAAAAAAAACAAAAAAAAAAAACTTTTCAGACGGCCTGTTTGCTGTTCGGTGAAACCAGAGGAACCAAATGGATCCAGAGGACGTGTCAAACTTCACAGCCTTTTACAGCGTCTGTCTCTGATTTATGGCAACGCGAGTTCCTGAACATACATCAGTCGTTATTCATCCTTCATTTCCAGTTCCACATAATAACTCAGAGGGAAAAAAGGGAAGCTGGAGGCTGCAGGATGCTTACATTGACCTACAGGGTGTCAAACTCAAGGCCCGGGGGCCAAATCCAGCCCACCAGAGCTTCTTATGTGGCCGTTTTCACTGCAAAAACACAAAATCTTAAAAAGTATTTTTGATCTAGTTTCTACTGCAAATATCTTACACTTGAATTATCTTTCCTAAACTAACTTACAGATAACTTTCCGCAAGAAATAGGAGCTTGTTTCAAGTAAATGATTTCTTAAAGGAGAAGTATTACGTAAAAAGTTATTCTTTGAGCTTTACAATCATGATATATTGTTATTCCCTCATGGAAATCATACCTGGAGTGTTGCCTTGGTTCTTTCATGCATGTTTGAGAAACCCTTTAATCTCCATGACAACCATTCAGCTGTGCTAAATGCCTGGATGGACCTAGTCCCGCCTTTGAGGCTCAGCTCCCCCATTCTACTCCTTCAGACTAGCCAGCAGCAATTAGCAAACACCTGGTGGAAGTGTACATCTGCCGAGTTCATTGTACGAGGTGGTTTTCAGTGCAGCGCTGATAAAAACGTCGTTAAAGGGTTAATAGAGGCGGCTTTTTGAGTTTCAAACAAAGCAGGAGTTCCTTAAAGAGACAGAAGCCCAATTCCAAGGTGTTAAATTACAAAGTCAAATTTATTTTAAGTCACATCTGATGTAGTTAATTTTTTATAATAATTGAAGTTAACATATTTACTTGATTACGATATAAAATGGCCCCATATTCTTGGAAAACATATAATTCTGCCCCTTTAATATTAAAAGAATTACCAGTTCCACTATGAGATCATTTCACTTTTTCATTAATATTAAGGAATTACTGACTTAAAACAAGTTTCTATATTTTGTAGAAAAGTTACTTTTAAGTTAATTTTGTCTTATTTCAAGTGTATTAAGATATTTACACTAGAAACTAAACAAAAGTTCTTGGTAAGATTTTGTGTATTTGCTGCGTTTATAGTATTTTGTCCAATTGAAGAAGTTTTTATCTGTTTGCTGCAAAATTGCATCAATCAGTTGCCCCAGTTTTTTTGTAATTCTGCATTTGCGGAAATTTACGGGGAATCCACACATAATTTTATAGAAACAATTACTAGTGAGATTATTACAAATTTTCACAAAGACAAACAAACAAACAAAAAAATAGATTTAAGTGGTGACCTCCAACCTGCAGGTGGCAGTATTTCTTACTTCTTCTACACTGCGGAGTCATTTTAGCACCACAACATCTGATTCTGATTGCAAAAAAAAATAAAAATAATAAAATAAAATCCTGGAAGGACTGTCAATTTAATTTCAAAAAGTCTTGATCAAATACAGACAGCTATTTATTAATATTTTAACTGTTGATGGGTTTTATCAATAAATTCTGCTACAATCGGGAACATTCATGAAAGTCTTATTTTCATTTAGATGTGACCCATCGAAATGAAAATAAACTGTATGTTGCTTTGTTTCTAAGAAAACAAAGCAACATACAGCTGAGAGACCTGAAACTATACTTGGTTCATTTCTGATGTGCCTGGAGAGTGAGACCCCCAGATAATAACACTTGGGTTTAGACCCTCACAGACAGTCTTTACTGAAGGTAACAGCATCAGGAAACAGGAGGCCTTCTGTGCCAGGACGTAGTGTGTGTTTGTGCAGCAGGGAGTTCGCACAAGAAAACCCGGCGCTGCTCCTCAGAGAGCGTCAACAGCCGAAGTAACTGCTGAGACATCTCGTTTCTCTGCCGTCCTCCAGGGAGGACGCGCTCTCTGTCGGCTGCACACGTTTCCTAATCAACTAATTGCACTTAGAGCCACTAACTATGCAAACAAACCCACTAAAATAGAGACAGAGCCACAACACCAGGCTCAGAGGGACAGGAAAGTGGGAGACGGATCATTAAAAGTCCCAGTAAGGGAATACGTGTAAACAACACAAACAGGTAAACATGATCTAGATAAACTTCGCATGTGAATTTACGCCAAAAAAGCAGATATCAAAGAAATTCAACTCTATTTTCAGTCATTTTGAGTCTTTTTAATGTCCTTTCTGTACAGTATATGATCTCCTACAGCTGTTATTTCAGTATCTTGTCCTCAGAGATGGGAGTAATTGGTTACATTTACTTGATTGAGTACCTTTAATGAAAATGTTAGGTAAATTGTATTATTATCAACTATTTGTTATACTTTTATTATGTTCTTACCTTATGTACTCTTACTTGTTTAGTCATATCTTTAAGAAATGTTTTGTATTGCTAATCACTCTGATTTCCTTTCTCAGAGGGCCTCTCTGATGAAGAGCAGTGACAGCAGCTCTTCACAGAACGCCCTGCTTTTGACCTCTCAGGTAGCTGTAAATCCATCGGTGTGAAGATGTACAACTTGCTCTGTTTGACCCTGTGTCAGGAACTGGGGAATATAGGTTAAGATAGATTGTGTTGTTAGTTAGTGATAACCATTGGCGCTGTAACTGTGTGAAGTGTTTTCCTCCTCCCTTCAGAGTTACAGCGCTCTCTGTGATCAGGGATCCTAAAGACAATAAAAAGAGAGGAGCAGGCAAATGTGCTACAGAGCAGCAGGAGATTTGTAACTGAAAGCACATCTCTGTCTGTTCTCCTCGCGAGTATTCAGAATCTAACTCTCTCTTGTCTTTCCTGTGTTATTTGGTCTGTGTTTAATAAGTGTCACCTCTGACAGAAAAAAATAAAATAATTGACTATCTTTACAATGTACTTTTTTCATGATGAAGTATTTCTACTCTTCCTTGAGTAAAATTTCTGGATTTTCTACCCACCAAACTTGTTTAAACCAAAGATTCACCAGATACACGCCTGCAGTTTCTGTTAAACTTTCATAAGTTTCTTATTGAAAGAAACTGATTTGAAAAAAAATTATTTTGTTTGATTTTGTTATTTTTGTAACTTATGTGAATTATTGTCATTTTGGCCCTTAAAATACCAACATTTCCACTTTAACTTTATATTTTGGTCTGTCTGATGTAATTTTTAAATATTAATTTGATCAGTTCCTTTTACCAACCACCTTTTTATTGTAGTTTAGTTAACTTTAGTTTGTATTTTTATGATGAAAAGCACTTTGAATGGCCTTGCTGCTGAAATGTGATGTACAAATAAACTTGATGACTGATTGATTGTTCAGAGGTGGCAGCTAAAGTCAGTTTTAACTGTTTTTCACCAGGATGAGGGAGTCTGTTTCTGCTGTGTGTTGTCGTATTCGTGCATCAGAGCCGTTTAAATTTAGCACATTAGCAGCCAGCCCTGCTTTGGTTTCCAGGTATTCTGTTATTACTGAATTTCATCATTTATTCTTCTCCTGTTTAAACCTCCAACATGACCAAGGCTGCAGCAGAAGAGCTGAACCCCTCTGACCCCAAAAGGGACAGGAATGACTCGGAGCCGCTTTCATCTGACTGCCATGCTGGCTGGGGACTGATACCCTGCAGGATGGTTGGAGGTAAGCTCTGATGCAGCTGCTCTGCCGAGTCCCCTGGGCTGCTTAAGGCAGCGTTACGAACTGGCACTAATGTTATGCTACAGTTGATTTAGCCGGGCCCTTGTCCCCTTTGGCAGAACTAACACTAGAACCAGCAGTAAGCAACACAACCCCTGTTTTGCAAGAGACCCTGTCCCCCTTGGCAATGCTACATTAGCTACTGTAGCGCTAACCCATGTTAACTCACATCTATTACTATTCAACAGGCCCTGCAGAGGAGACCTTTTCTTCTCTCTAGGTATGATTTCAGTATCTTTTCAGCGAACTGACACACAAACCCACCAACACGTATATGTGTGTGTGTGTTACATCTATTTATACATGAGGCAAGATTGCTGATGTTGACGACAGCTATGAATACCTTGGGAAGCCTGGGGCGGATGGAAACCATAAAAAGGCCACAGAACAGTGAGCCATGATAAAGTACCTAAAAAGAGTAAGGGAGGTCCTGAAGGAGCCGCTGAACAGTGAAAACAAAACCTAAGCCATCAACATGTTCGGCCTGCCAGTCATCAGATACACCACTGGTGAATTAGCCAGAGAGAGGAGCTGCACACATCAAGGCAGGAAAGCACCAGCAGCGGACAGAGAGTTTCAGGTGAAGCACTGAACCAGGAAGCAAGCCGAGTGGAAGAAACTCAAGCTATCATCTTTGGACCTAAAGAGGAATGATCTAGAGTCAGTTATTACAGCTAGAAACCAAAAATTAGGCCTGAAATCTGGGTGTAGTGATGAACTCTGAGCTGAACTGTCACACAAAGACAGTTACAAAGCCGGGATTCTATCACCTGAACAACACTTCCGGGATTAAAGCATTAATATCCCAGCAAGATCCAGAGAAACACTGATTACTGCAGTAGTGTCTTCACAGGTCTGAGTAAAAAAATAAAAAATAAAATAAATGAATCAGACAGATGCAGCTGATCCAGAACGCCACTGGCTCCCTGGAGCTCAGAGAATAGACTTTACAATACTGTTCTCAGCTTCTATGCACATGAAATATGGAAAAACTTCCAGAAAACTGAAAAACAGTCAAAACACGAGTTTCTTTAAATCAAGACTAGAAACCCACCTGGTTAGAGTTGCTTTTGAACCTTAATAGGTGAAACACTGACCAACATTTTGACGAGTAACGATGGCAGTTGACAAAATGTAATGTTTGCTGCTTGAGTGTGTGGGGTCTCTGTATTTTTGTGTTTTTATGA